GTGTTGACTGCGTCCGCTCGTGCCCGAGAGTGTCTGCGAGTATTGTGTTGTGTCAGGGTGTTGTGTGAGAGAGGACAGTTGCTTTTACAAGAATGTGGAGCGAATTCAAGTGGTTTGCTATTGCTGTGTTGCATTGCCCGAGGGGTGTCGCATCTAGCGGCCCCTGCTGCATCGGCCGAGGGGAGGTTTGTTCAAGTGGCCCTTTATCAGGCGTGATTATGTAGACACTCGTGTGTGCGCACATGTGTCTGCGAGTGGAATGTCGGTCAAGTGGTTTTACACTTTGACTGCGACGTGCACCATATGTGGTACACGCAATGATGTCACAAACTACAGGCTATTTTTGGGAGTCGCAGCCAAAGTGTTAAGGTCAGCAAGTAGGAAACAGCTGCCTGTGAAGTTGCATGACGATGATGTAGTAGACCTTGTACACGAAAGGGAGGCAGAATTGTTGGCCGTCCGCCACACCCTTAACTATCGAAAATCGGTGAAATAACCCGCGGAAGGTCCTTGCGCCCACGATTTTCAACCAATTCGGTGCACGCGGGTGCCTGCAAGCATGCCGACCGGCTCTGTACTAATTATACATATACAACCTCGATTGGGTATCAGAAAGTGTCTATTTTTAACGTCAAACCGGTCAGTGAAAATTAAAACTTGCGACATGGGTACCTCGGAGTGTCCAGTTCGATCTCGATCATCGTGTCTCCTGAGTCGCATCACTTACTGCACTTATAGGCATGTCGCTTACGCTACAATGAGGAAACCAGTATTTGTCAAAAGATGGGAAGTTGAGCAATTTTGGTAACAGTCCATTAGAGGTACCACTACATTGGTAATGACGGTTACATGAGTAAAGCATTACGGGGGCACAGGAGAGAAAATAAAACAAACGTGGGAAACAAAAACAGGAAATAGAAGATAAAATCATTATAAAAAGTTAATGTATAGCAACTAAAAACACACGATAGTTGACAATTAACTTACAACTAAAAATGATAGATTCTAAAAAAATTTCCATAACCCCCGGTCTCATGTTATAGAATTCTTGGGTGGCACCTGTGATAGACTGTTACCACAATTTTCTCTTAGAGCGTGGGGAATAACAAGCATGGGGGTAGGCAGGGAGATTATGTGAAGCAGACGGTCGGAGGCAGATAATGAGTCCATCAAAATTGGCCCATTAGCGCCTGAGTGCGATTTTTCGCGCAAGTTAACTTCACTACGTAAAAGACAACAACCAATTGGCATGCCACATCTGTGAGGGGTGACCACTGGCTGGAAAAAATCTCGATTTATTGCTACGACTTTAGCAGGTGTTGTCATCTGCTACCTTCAGTGCTAACTCCGTGCAGGTAGTTAGTCCTCGCAAAAAACATGTATGTGACGCAATTGATCCATGTTAGGGTGCTTCTGTATGGACCCAGGACCGTAAGCATTGAAACTACTGACGGAAATTCGGGGGGACGTGTTCTCACCTCTGATCAATTTGCGTTTACAGTCGTTTGGCAAAGCCATACTGCAGCTTACGACGCGAAGAGTTATTCGGTACCGTTAACCCGAATGTGTTTATTAGGCATCTGGTGTTTGATACTGCCAAATAGATTACGTCATACCGAAATTCCTGCGGCACCGACCCGTTTGTATTTCAACTAGGCTCCTTGACAGCATTCTTAAGCTCAAGACTGTCAGGAGCCAGTGACATTACTCGAATCTTCACGTTTCGACGCCGTAGATAAAGCCATAGAAACTGTTAGCCATAATGAAACAGGAGTGGATGACTCAACAGAACACACTGTCACTAGTCCTTGGTGGGGCCCGTAAACCATTACTCAAGTAACTCGCGGCTCAGACGATTTTCACCTCTCACGAGAATTTTGATGTCGTCGAAATTGAATTTGTAGTCTGGATCTGTCGTATGAGCCGGGGCCGCTTGTTCAGCCATTCGCGTTAGGAGATATTCTCCATTGTCTTCGATGTAGGTGTGTAGCCCGCAGTTGCACCAGATATAATAAACGATTCCAGACGCTTCTTGTCATGTTAGTGGGGTCCTTTGGTCTCGTTACCTAACACCTAACGGTCGCCTCCGGTCTGTGTGCTACTCCAACTTCAAGTGGTGTTAAAAGGCTGCTAGCAGCCTCCGAGACATTCTTGACGTACAGAAGTGCTTGCCAAAATTTGGGATCGGTGCGATTTTGTCGTTTATCTCGTTTGTATATTCATCGGTTAACGAATTCACTCGGGTGACCATTTTCTTCGAACAGCCGTCCAATATATTGCAGTTCGGCAACTATGACTTCCAGTTCACTGCACTGCGTCTCAACATGTTGATGGAGCGTGCTTATGCAACTGCGTTTGTGGCTGATAGGGTGGTTGCTGTTGAATTTCTTAAGTTGAGTCGTATTTTTCTATTTCCTAAATACTTAGGTCTTCAGGCCACCACAACCGTTGCGGCAGAAGGTCAGCTAGTTGTTTTCTTCCCTCCCCATCGTAAATTGTACGTCCTGGAGGATGGTGTTGAAACGTTCTTTGAACGTAAGCACCTGACCCCGTTCGATGACGACGAGGTTATCATCCACATACGGCGCCCAGAATTTCGGTCTGTGGTGTTTGAAAACCAGCGACTCTAAACGTTGTAGAATTGTCTTGGTTAAAAATCACGAAATTTACGAACCCATTGGTGTTCCTCTAACCTATTCATAGATTTTCTGTCAAGCATGAAGTACGTCACTCATTGATGAACGCTCACCTGACCAGGAACAGAACTCTTCTGTTCCGCTCTGTCTTTGGCCTCCATAGAAGCCCTGACAGCCGTGGCAGCATAGGCAGATAATATTGCCGGTAAAGACAAGGGAGACTGGAGGGGCCATTTCTGGCTCATTAGCCGTCGTCAGTCAGTCAGTCATGCCCAGACTGAAGTGGTGCCCCACCTGAGCCTCGAACTCGCGAACTCTTTGATCAGAGTCAAATGCCCTAACCGCTGATCCACGAGCTCGTCGTCTTGCCGGTTTAGATCAGGGGATATTGACACTCCTTGATGA